GATTTAAAGCTGCGATAAGAAAACAACTATTCCTTTGTTGCAACACTTGAGCAGAAAATTAGTCACCACCTGTAAGGGATGCTGTGAAACTTCTGACTGACCAAACATTCCAGACTAACTTTTTTACCGCTGCAACCAATGTTGTTCGCACTTCTCACCTTGTCACAGGCAAAACATATGACTTGCTGAACATTTTCTTATCGATAGACTGTACAATTTACTATGTTCCCTGAACACCCCACATAGCAGGCTGCGGTGGTCAGACCGGTGTGCGACCAAAAATGACTTTACAAAGCGTAAACTAGGGTGTTCAAATGTCAGATTTGTCCGAGATGAAACCGAGTGATTTGTTCTCATGCAGTCGTTTCTATGAGCGGAAAAAGTAGCGCATGTAAGTGCGCTTCGTTTTTCACGAAAAGACCACATTTCTAAGAGTAAATACCACAGTTCACCGAAGTTATAAAAGCATTGTTTTCCACCACTGTGTTGCTACTGCTGGGACACAGTTGTACCGGATTTCAGTGTGCAACAGTTTGTGCAGAACTTCCGTGTGTCCCTGGAGTCATTCTAATACATCTGTGATCGGACCAGAGACGTCCTGGTGAAAAACGACATAAATCACCGCTTGTGTGCCCCATTCATCGGTCTCGGTGGTCATGACAACCCCGCACCAGCACCTGACGTTCTCGGTTCTTAGCTCTGGCGCCGCAAAGAGTTGGTGCCTGAAAAGCACCAGTTTTGGGAACCTGGAGCCGATGCTTAAGTGGTGGAAACACAAAGAACTGGTGGTAAGTCAGACACTGGCTCCAAACTAGCACTGGAACCGGTTTGGTGAAAAAGGGGGAACTGCAAGCATGTAAAGAGGGTGATGTAGTTTAGACTCACCAAAGACCAGAGCCAGACCATGAGATGTTCCCACAGCAATGACACCAGACACTGTCTAAACACAAAAAATAAACAGCTTAGAACTGATTCGAAGAAGTCTGGACAATAGAAAATATCTAATTAAAAAATAAATATTAAAAAATATAAATATAAAATTAAATATAAAACAATATAAAACTTTCTACCTCCATCAACTCATATAATCAGAGACAAAGACCACAAAAACAGGTTCTCTCCACAGTTTTTTTTAAATAGCGGTATTTCCGATCCACTGGATTAAAAAAATAATAAAAATAACTATAACAACAACAACATTATTATTATTATTAATAATAATAATAATAATAATAACAAACAATGATAACATCTTAAAATGTGCACACCCCCACATTATCCCTCTTTTGTTCAGCTAAATGTAAATGTGAGTAAATGTAAGTGCTGCGGCTTTTATCTACTATTATTTACTAATAAATACATCCAATACTTCTATTTATGTCAATTTTCTCTAATATGTAGCCATTTTTCAGATTATGATACTGCTAAAAATAAATCAGAAATGCACAAAAAATGGGTCATTAAAAGAGTGTTAACAAACTGTTCTTCAAACATTCACCACCACCCTGATGAGTTGAAATGTTGGTTGAATAAATAAGTACTCACTATAGCAGTTGGCAGTCCAGCATCCACTTTGTCCTGAGTAAAGACACAAAAGTTTTTATAATGGCCGTAATCTTAAATGTCTTTCTATTGCATGTGTTTGTTTGATTCCTGTGACTAGTGTTGTGAGTACATACATTTGTTTACAAAGTCAAACTGTGGGGATCTTTACATTTTAGCATGCACTTTTAGGCCAATTAGGTTAGGTTCAGGCCAATGTTTGGGGTAGGATTAGTCAAGCATTTGGCATAGTTGGGGTAAGCCTTGTGGAAATAAATGCAAGAGAGTGTCTTCTGAAATTATGGAAACATAATTGAGAATATACGTGTTACTCTGAGGTTTGTGTATGTGTCTTTTTTGTGGACAAATTAAGTTTATATATTTAGTTGTTATAGTCAAGATTGGGGCAAGAGGCTAGGGAATGCATTGAATTAGCAAGAGACTTCACAAATAAAAAATAAAAAGTAAATGTGTGTGTTACAGCCTTACAGCAGCAGAAACGATTTGTGCAGAGATGCCCTTCAGCAGGCTGTGTCGAAGGACAGACCCATGAACTGTTGCATTCAGATCCACTGTCCTCCTCTTTCTTCATGTCCACACACAGACATACATAAACATAGTTCAACAAGTACAGAGATTGGACCAACACAAAGAAAAAAAATCCACTTTATTAACTTGTACATGTAAAAACAAAAATGTATGCACACACACACTAAACTAAGTATTGGCATTGTGGTTTTGGCTGGTGGTCACGTGTACTGAGGACTATTTCAGGTGTTGGATGTGGGTTTGTACCAGCTCATGCTTGTGTTGCTTTGGCTGGAACAGTAGCATCTACAGAGTGTTTCAAAGACTAAATATGCTACCTACACGACCCACCGATGGACCCCGTCAGTACACCCTTTATTCACATGCATAAAGGTTCTAAATAAAATATTCATCACAGCTTCAAGTATTTAAAAAATAAATGAAAAAAAACTTAATGAAATAGTTTTATATACACTGTTGCCCATAAAGTTGGAAAAAAAAATTGTTTTCAAACACATTCCTCTTTTTATTTCTATTTATACACATCAGCAATACCTTTGACCAGGTTCAGTGATTACATACTGAGTCTCAGTTACCAGGTGAAACCAGTTCTGACTTCAGGACCTGACTGAAGAGTGGGACATCCTGCCCATTGACACCATCAACAAGCTGATGGTCCTAACGCATTGATCCATGTCAAGGGTGGCCATACTCAATATTAATGACTGACAGACATTTGAAAGAGTAATATTGGGCATTCTTATGCATGAAATCCCCTTGAATACAAATTCCTGTTATATAACCAAGGTTGAAAAACTGAAACAAAACCCTAAATCCTATTGTTCAATACCCCAATTTAGTTTAATCCTGAATACACAGTTTGAAAAGTTAATTGTGGTTTAATTTTTACTGTGATATGCATTGTATGTATATTGTGATTTCAATAAAGTTTGAGAAGATATACAGTTTATTTATCAAGAATAAATCGCATTGTCACAATCATTTCATGAGAAGAGGCAAAAAAATAATAATTTATTCCAACTTATGGGCAACAGTGTGGATGCATAAGCTGTTATTTTGATCAATTAGAAATTTAAACTGTCCTCATTTTCTAAACAATGTTTTTTTTATTTTAGGTATTTAGTTTGCTATAATTTTTTTATTTAATTCAGACAAACGTTTTTGCAATTGTTATTATACAAAAAAAAGAATGTATGTGTGTAATTAACTACGTACGGGCATCTGTAAAGCACCCCCCTGAATATTTTATGTATGTGTGTGTGGATTCATGCCGTTTGAGGTGTGCTGGGTCTCCGCTGTCAGAGCTGGCCAGAGAGGAGGTGTCACAGGAGTGGGCATCCATGTTGTCTGTGTTTAGTACACAGGTGTCCTCCAACACAAACGGTTCCTCCTCATCCTCCAACTGCAACACAGCAAAACAAACGCATCTCAAACTAAAGGGCACAGACAGGACAACACCTCGGCTAGAAGAAGGCTCTCCGTCTAAAGACCATGTGATGCTACAAAGCAAAGTTTTTGATTTCGCAGAAAGATGCGTCTGTGGTGGCAAGGCCAATTTTAAAATTTTACCATGAGAAAAGGAACTGTGTTAACTCTGTTGTGCAATGTCCAATCTGCCCAAAACTTCACAGGTTTCATCAGGGTCTATGCCTGGAAACATGCAGTATTTTCAGCCATAGTCATAGGGCCATCTAC